CTTCTTGGGAAAACAAATTCACCACTCAATTGAGTCCCAAAAGGCAGTTAATCTGAAATTAGGAAAGCGGAAAACTGTCTCCTTGCAGAGAGGATCTTCTATTTCTTTTGTATAATTAGTTAGATATTTATGTTGGATGAGGGCATTTGAGTAATAAGGGAGAATTTAGCTCCCACAATGAAATGATTGTCTGTGGATACCCCTTGAAAGTCTAATATTTATATTAACAACTTACATATCATCTGTCAGCTTATTAATGCTTACTGTATTAGTAAGAGGAAGGACAGGGGTAACAAAAATAAATGCATTTAACAGCAACACCGGTAGTCTTCAACTTACGACCACAATTGAGCTCAAAATTTCTGTTGCTATGTGAAACATTGGCTAAGTGAGTTTTGTCCTATTTTATGACCGTTCTTACCACCATTAAGTGAATCCCTGCAGCTGCGAGGTTGGTAACCCAGTTGTTAAGTGAGTCTGGCTTCCCCACTGGCTTTGCTTTTCAGAAGGTTGCAAAAGGTGATCACATCACCCCTGGATATTCCAACCATCATAAGTATGACACAGTTGCCAAGCACCTGAATTTTGATCATATGACCATGGGGATGCTGGAACTCTTCCTAAATTCCATTCTGAAGAATTATTTTTTATATAGTTTTCAAAAAAGGTGGTGGGAAGGCATGGCCCATTATCTGAAGTTAGATGGTTCCAACAGAGAAGGCTATTACCAAGAAGGTTCAACTGCAGAGTCCTTGTTGATTGGATTCCTTGACAGTGGAACCATCATCAAGCTACCTCTCCCAAATCTTACTGGACAGGGAAGTTCAACTCAGATAATGAGGTCTCAAAAATATTCAGGCCCTGAATGATAGAAGGTTTGAAAAGTGATGAGCAGCATCTCAAAAGCCAACTGATATTCCCATGGTACTTTCTGCCAACAATGTATATCAGAGTCCAGAATCCAGATTTCATCAGTAACTTGAGAAGTTTCCTTTATCTCTGTTTAATATACCCCTGTTTAATGAAGGAGATGGAGACAAAAATTCACTTCTGAGGGTTAAAGAGAGAATACCCTCTTCTTTTCTGATAGCTGGAAAGCCTGGAGAAGAATGAAACAGAACTGAACACCATAGAAGCAAAAAAGCTGGCCCATCAACTACGGGCAGTGACGGAACAGATGGAGTCTTACTTTGGGAATGATATTCATATTACCTACCGCCTGCTTTCTCACTTGATGGCCTTTGAGAGCAGACAGCATGGTTTTGGGCTGACTGCTACCCAGGATGCTCACTTCAATGAGGTAAGAACCCCTTTTCAGTTGTGATATTGTAAAAGAGAGACACAGAATCCTATTAAGTAGGCTTTTCCCTTGAAGAACAGTGTGAATATTTATGAGAATTTTAGTAAAGTGAGCCCAGGATATACAACTGATAGTAGACCTCTAGGAATTCAGAATAAAGTATCCTATCAGCAGTTATTTTTAATGCCTTAAGAATCCTTGAGAAATGTGGGTCGGATGCATCATGTGTTGGCCACGCCCACCCCCATTTTAGCAAAGGGGGGGAAGTTGAAATACATCACGTAACGACAACATGACAACATGAGTTTGACACCACTGCTGTATGATATTAAACTAGTGCCATTAGCTATAGTAAATGCTGCCCTACAGTTCCCCAACATCCTGCTTTTTCTCCTGCAAACAATATTTCTCTGCTGCTGAATATAGTTTTTATAGTTTTGGAGTGGTTTACAATATAGTAGAAGTCATCATATAAAGGTATAAAATGCAATTAAAATCCAAACAGTGTAAAGAAAAAAAAATCCAAATAGCAAAATCTATATAGGAGATCTAAAAAGAACAGACATTTTTAAAGCTAAGAATACCTGGGGGAAAGGATTTCTTATTTCCCCATCCCAAGCACATTGTAGGTGCCACAAATTAACTTGGAATAGGCATTTCACACACTTTATCTAGCAGCTTCATTCTATGCCTCACTTGGAATGAAATCCAAGAAAATGTTGATTAGACTAGGCACCCTGGCCCCAAGTTTAAATCATTTTAAGAATAGTTTGATTTTTCATTACTTATTTGCTTTCATCTAGCAGTGGCTAGTTGGCTCTTTACAGACCAGATCTGGTAGCTTTAGGTTTCCATAATTTTCAAAGCCTCAGGATAAATATCTATAAGTGTGGAGAAGGATGGCTAGGCAATTAGAAATGATTATTTAAAAACACTATAACCTGATAGCGTGAGTTGTTGGTTTGTTTATCTGTGGGGTCTTTTTTTAAGCAATTAGCCTCTTCTTTCTATTATGTCAACCAACTGATATACTTTTTTTCTTTTTCATACAAAATAATTACATACTAAGACCAAAAGGGGTCTTTTGGGAGTCTTTTGTTTAAAAAGCCAACAAGCTTTTGTTTGTGCCATAAAACTTGTTAAGGATGGTGGGGTTTTTTTAGTTTAAGAAAGCATTCGGGGGTTTCTGGTGACATGGAATAGAAAGCTCTGAGATGCAATGCTACAGACAACCCCCAAAACCCCCATGATTTTCTGAAGGTAAAAGATAATTTAATAGAAAAGAACAAGCCTGCCTGATCTAGATTCTTATAAAATCTCAGAGTGGTATGATTAAAACTTCATTTTAAAATGCTCACCAGTTATTATTCTTCCAAAAAGACCCCATTTTACAAATTAACTGAATAAATAAATGTGTACATGCATTCTTATGATATTCAGCCAGATGTAAGTTCCAGGAGTTAAACTAAATTTATTTCAGTTATGTACTATCCAAGAGCAATGGAATGCCTTGTGTTATTGGCCTATATATGCCATTAATGTTTGAAATTTAGAAGCGTTTCATAGCAGGGTCTCATTGTGAGACTAGGGCAAAAGTCTATATCCGTATTTAAGGTGTGTGGATTTCTTAAGGGTGGTTGGGGAATTCTGAAGCTCACACATCTTAACATTGCCAGTGTTAGAAACTCTGGTCTGTATTGCATCTGTGTTTTTATGTGTGGTTAAAGGCAGTGGAGAGGGTGGTTATGTTGGCTGAAATCTACCTAAACGTTGATCTTCTCTTTAGAACCTCCTCCAGGCTGGCAGCTCAGTTCTGGCGTTGGAAAACCAGGAGCACTGGGACACGTTGTTGCAAAATGATCAGGGAACTGCAGCTCTGATGGAACAGCTGAAGGACTACTCAGGCACTTTGGCCAGCAACATGAAGCTCACCTACCTCAATCCTGTTGGTGTGGTGACCCCCAATATTGGTAAGTAGAAGCCAGGTCAGGGGAGGAAATCTTCACCCTGTGCTAACTTCCGAAAGAATAGCTCATGGACCCCATCCCTCTTGAGGTCAGTATGAACCGACTGTGCTTCTCTAGCAGTCCAGGACTGTGGAACTCTTGGCTTCCAGGCAGCTAAGGATTTGCTGAACGGTTCAGTACTAGGATACAACAGGACTTTTTAAAGCATTATTAAGAATTCTCTGCTGTCTTGCACTTTTATCAAAAGCGAGCAGACAGGGTTATTATTTGAATGGAACGGGAAAGTAGAAGCTTCTCAATCTGTTTCTAGCACATGGGATGAAGGGACCATTAGACATTCAGGAGGAAGACGGGCTTGAAAAAGACGTTCAGAAAAGAAGTAGGAAAGGAAAAGTGACAGATACTCTTTCTGTACCATAACCAGCAAAACGGTGATGGCTCCAGTCAGCTGGCAGAGATCAGAGACACTAACTTACAATTTGAGGCTGTGCTGATCCACATGAGACGGCCAGCCTGATCAGTTGCAAAGCGATGTTGTATTAAACAGATTCCACAGGGCATTGCTTGTCCTTTGCTTTAGGGAATTGCTCTCCACACTTGCACTGTAGCCACAAGAATGCTTGCTTTTTAGAAGCTGCAAGGCAGGGTGCATCCCTCATTTAAGAACAGATGGATGATACATTCCTGAATTCATGGCAGGATCCTGAGGAAGGGAAGGAAGCCAAATGACAAATGCAGCACTATACCATTGTAATGCAAACTCCTTTTGTGTTGGCACTGAGGTATTGCAGGCATGTAGGAAGGGGCAGAGATTGCATTAGAGTGATGCAAGTTTTTGATGAATGCTTCCAATCTTATAGACACTTCTGTCATTGCATATAAAGCTCAGTCATTGGAGATCACACTTGGACATACCTTTTAAGCTGCACAAGAACATATTTCTTCTTAGTGTTCTGGGCAAGCTCCTGCAAAGTGGATATAACAGAATAATAAGTGAGAGTCACTTCCAGAGTTATTTTTAAATATAAATATGTACATATTCATACCTCACAGGGGTAACTTCATTACTCATATGTAAAGTGTTCCTAAGCAAACACACAGTCTCACACATTTCTCACATCTTATGCAAAAATGTTTTCCCTTTGTCCTTGAATCTCCCCGGTCTTGGGCAAATCTGCAATTTGTATGACTCCGAATACCTCCACTGCAGTCTGAGCAGAAAGCTATTCTTGGGATCAAACGATACAAATACTGTTATCCATTAGACTTCTGGTTGAACATAAGGAGATCCAGATTATTAGAGTACTTGCTCTCTCACCACATGCTTGGACGAATGCCTAAAGAGGATTAGACAGACTGGAAATACTTTCATTTCTATTTTTATCAAAATACATATTTGACTACAGGACTTCTGTTTCATCCATTTAAAAACATCAACACACACCTGCTTATGTAAATTTCTGAAATATAAATATTTTTGTGCATTTTTTCAAGTCTTCTTGGAAGTTCTTCTTCTAGGCACATTTTTAATGACATTTTTCTCCTATTTTTGGAGCTGTGAACTGTAGCTAAGCTTTGAAATGAACATCTTCCTCTTCAGTTCAGCATTCAGTTGCAGCATTCAGTTCAGTGTTCCCATGAACATTATAGGTATGTTATTTTGTATAACAATCCTAATGCAGTGAATTTTCTCTTTGTGTGGCTCTCTACGATTAAAAAAGCACTTTGAAAAGTAGCCTGTGAGCATAAAATATAAAAGTAATCCTCACTTAGTGCCCAGTATTGAGACCAGTGACTCCGCTGTTAAGTGCTGCATTTAATAAACAAAACATCACACATGTCTGTGACAGGCTTAAGATCTCACTCCCCCTTTGGTTGTTAAGCGTGCCCATACTTTAAATGTTATTTCCGCCTACTCTATTAACTCTGATTGTGGCAAAGCAGACGAATGGTGATCAAGTGACTATGGGATGCTGCAATGGTTGTAAATGCATACCAGTTGCAAAGTGCCTGAAGGGAAATCGTGTGACTGCATGTGAGAATTAGTTGCAAAGCTATTCTTTTGTACTGTCATAATTTTGAACATTAAACAAAGCCATCTGTAAGCTACCTGTTCTTCATAAAGGAAAGAGGTCAGCCATTTCTACCCCCAGCCGTAGATACAGTTAACGTCTGTTTAAATTGGAATGGAATGGAATAGAATGGAATGGAATAGGATAGGATAGGATAAGATAGGATAGGGCAGGGCAGGGCAGGGCAGAGCAGAACAGAACAGAACAGAACAGAACAGAATAGAATAGAATTCTGTATTGGCCAAGTATGATTGGACACACAAGGAATTTGTCTTTGGTGCATATGCTCTTGGTGTACATAAGAAAAAATAAAATACATTCATCAAGAATCATAAAATACAATACTTAGTGATAATCATAGGTTATTATAAGCAATCAAATCATACATAGGTTACTAATATGCAATCAAAACATACTAGGAAAACAAATAAAACAATATAAATTGTAAAGTTACAAGCAACATGGTTATAATCATAAGTGGGAAGAGGTAGTACTAGGAAGGATGAGAAGAAGAATAGTAATACAGTCTTAGTAAATAAGTTGACAGTATTGTGGGAATTAGTAGTTTGGCAGAGTGATGGCATGGAAAAAACCATTCTCGTGTCTAGTTGTTCTGATGTGTAATGCCCTATAGCGTCGTTTTGAGGGTAGAAGTTGAAACAATTTATGTCCAGGATGTGAGGGGTCTGTAGATATTTTCACAGCCCTCTTTTTGACTCGTGCAGTACACAGGACCTCAATGGAAGGCAGGCTGGTAGCAATTGTTTTTTCTGTCATTCTAATTATCTGTTGAAGTCTGTGTCTCTCTTGTTTGGTTGTTTTGGTTGCAGAACCAAACCAGACAGTTATAGAGGTGCAGATGACAGAAGATGCCATTGTCTCTCAGACCTAATGCCCGAGGCCTCTTTTTTTCTTTTTCCCCCTCACAGTGCTCAGCATTGATCGTATGGAGAATCACACCCATCTCAGAAGACGCTACCCACGTTATCACAGTACCCTCTTCCGTGGCCAAGCCATGTGGGATCCCCACACACACATAGTCCTCCCTCACTCCGTCCTTACCCCCCGCAAAATAGAAGGTAAGTGGCAATTTTTTCTGAATTCCCCAGGCCTGGTTCAAAAACAAAAAACCCCGAAAGAAGTAGCCTCCTTTTCCACATCCTTCTCAAAAATTGCTTTAGAAACTCTCTTTTCCTTTTTTTTTTTCTTTTTCTTTTTTTGCTGTTCTTTGAGAGGTGTCATAGAGGAAAGAAAACAAAAAGGTGAGGGTTTTCATGTCTCTTTTAGACACTAAGAATGAGCTGTGACTTAACTTCTTGCATAGGTGATTAGCTCAGGAGCTAGAGGAGCTCATAGCTCAGGAGCTAGAGGCTTTGTCTGCCATTAGAGAAGGTCCTAATTGAACTGCTGGTCCCTGATGGGGAAATACCACCTACTCAGCCTTATGGCATTTATTTGACAAGATGGCTTTCCAGAGTTTGTGGGGGGGGGGTCATTTTACTTCAGAATGACTGAATGTGGCCTATTATGTTCCGAGGATACAGCTGAGATCTGAATATACATCTAACTTATCCCATCTGGAACTACCTTCCAGATATTTAGACTCAATAACATCTTCCCCAGTCCAGCACATCAGAAGCGGGCAGATTGGCAAGGTTGATTTAAGATTCTTGGGAAATAACACACTGACAGTCTCAGGTCTTTCCTTCCTTGGCCTTTGTCTTTCTTCAAAGGCAACTGTGCTATTGATTCCTTCTTGTTTTGCTGTCTCGATTCCAGTTCCCACCATGACAATAACTGCATCCATTAATACCGAGACCAATGTCACAATGGAAAGTCCTCCCCCAAGGCATTCTGTCCAAGAACCTGAGCCTGCTATCACCATCCTCATTCTCATCATTTATCGCACTCTTGGTGGACTTTTGCCTGCCCGCTACCAGGTGGATCGGCGCAACCTCAGGTATTAGTCTTCCTTCTCTACTGAGTTCTTTGCAGACTGACATGTTCCTACCAATTTTAAATGCCTGTGGTTTGTTTTATGGATAAAGGCAATTTGTTTGTAATCAACAATATCACAATTGGATTGTTGTGACACTGGATATCAGTATCGCTGTCTGAAACAATCCAGCCTTGATGGTGTTGCCGAGTAACAAGGCTTCTTGGTTCCATACAGGTTGCCCAAAAACCCTGTGATGAACTCCCCCATTGTGACTGTATCTCTGTTCAGCAACCACACTTTTCTGCAGAACAATTTGGAGGAGCCTCTCATGCTAGAATTCCGCCTACTTGAGACAGCCAACCGCAGCAAGCCCCTCTGCGTTCAGTGGAATCACTCTAGCCAGTAAGTTGACTGTGGGTCAAGTCACTCTTCAACGGAGCCATGTATCCTTGTATCTTCAGGCTTCTGGAAAGACTTATGTCTTTTTAAGGTGTGTTCTGGAATTTCGTCTCCTATGGACTATAGGTGTGGAGTGAATTAAGATAGCATAGTGGCAAAATTGTTGGTTCTCTTTGGTCTCGCCTGTGGAATCCACTCTGTTGAGAATGAAAGTAATCAAATTCAGGCATCTGCTGCTAGAGGCCTCAACTCCCAGCATTCCCTAGCCAATTAAGGTTACTAAGGTTGAGAAATGCTGACTTAATCTTTCATAGTGGAAACCACATCTGGCATAAATACGGTCATTGTCTCTCATTCATCACAATATCTGTAGTGTGAGGTATCTAAAAAACACACACACCTTAACAATCTTTCCTTTGAACCGTATCTTTTTATGGATTTCTTTATAACTGCAGGATTGAGCCCACTGGTTTCTGGACAGCACGGGATTGTGAACTTGTGCACCGAAACACCACTCATGTCCGCTGCCATTGCTCCCAATTTGGTACTTTTGGGGTGCTGATGGACAGCTCCCACCGAGAGGTAACTGGGTTTCTTCAAGCAAAGAGTGTCTGCTTTTTAGTAGTGCATGAAAATGTCTTTTATAGGGGTGAAGACACCAATAAAGAAAATGCCCCAGTAAAATAGATGTACACCTTAATTTACAACCATTCATTGAGCAACCATTCAAAGTTCCAATGGTTGATGACTACAATCAGACCTCAAACTTGCAACACCCCACTGTCGCATGATCAAAATTGCACTTGGTGTGTATTTACGATGCATCCCAGAGTCATATGATTACAACTTATGACCTTTCCAACTGGCTCACAACAAGCAGCCAATGAGACAAGTCTGATTCTCTTAATGATTGCAAGATTAATTTAACCATTGCACTGATTCACTTAACAACCATGGCAAAAGGATAATAAAATCTCTCATGACCTACTTAACAACTGTTTTGCTTAACAATAACCATTCTGGTCTCAATTGTGGTCATAAGTTGAGGTCTACCTCTAATCATAGAATATATTTGGTCCCTCGTGTGTTTGCTAATCCATGTTGAACTATATGTTGAACTAAATTTACTGCAAAGAATGAGAGAATCTATTATGTCTTCCTCTTACCTTGTAATATTCAACCGTTTTTTTTACCACAGAGCTGAAAAAAGGAACTAGTTAGATAGATGACAGTTTAAAAAAATCATTTTTAGGAAGATGTATGTAAGGGTGGGGGGAAAAAACCTGCAAGCAACTTTGCCTTATCATTATTAGGAGAAATAAGAGAAGTATTAGTATATTTGCCTAATTTGTTTTATCAAAACTTAAATCTGGAAATAGATTTTCTCTTGGGTTGTCTTCTTTTGAAATTTGCATGTGTGGGGGTTCTGATCTGTCTTAACCACATGTTGTTTGTCATTCTTGAATAGGTATGTAATGCATATTCTGTCATGGCTACTTCACTTCTTAGAAAGATCATAACTGACACTTTTGTTCTGCTATATATTCATCACACAGAATGATAAATGATGATGGATGCACATCATCATTTATCATTCTGTGTGATGAATATATATTTTTCATTTGCAGAATTGTTACCAGGCAGAAATTATAGATAGAAGTATTTTAAACAAAATATATATGGATGTATGCCTCAGCAGGTGGCAGCACCTGCCTGGCCTTTCCTAGATCCTTTCCCTGAACTGGTTCAAGGCTAGTTAGTCCTTGGGTGGGAAGCTACCAGGAAACATCAAGATTAAAATCTAGACTAATCTAGACTTAAAATCTAGACTAATCTAGCAAGATTAAAAGTCAAAAAGTACCTCTATGAGAAGATAGTGACAAACAACTGCTATATCATTGCCAAGCAAACAACATGGAGGTGTCCACAAACTTACCAGTAGTCAAACTTGACTTGAAAGAAGCAGGGGTTTATTTTTAATGGGTTTGATGGGATGTTTTTTTCATTGTGATGATGGAATAATGATTTTAAGACGTTGGTGTAATAGACATCTATGATGCCAACAAGCAACCTGACTTATCCTCTTGTGTTTGGTTTTTCCTTACAGCAACTGGAAGGTGACTTGGAGACACTGGCCATTGTGACTTATTCCTTGACATCTCTTTCTCTTCTATGTCTGCTGCTGACCTTCTTCTTTCTGATATGCCTGAAAGGACTCAAGTCCAATACTCGGGGAATCCATTGCAATATTTCTGTCACTCTCTTCTTCTCTGAGTTGCTGTTCCTCTTCGGTATCAATCGTACTGAAAATCAGGTGAGATGGAACAAAGAAGAGAAGCAAGAGCCCTGGTGGGTAACATATTAGGAAGCAAATGGGAGCTTCATTGGATGGAAAACGTTAGGCCTAAGAAGACCTCATCTCCCAGAACTTGAAAAGTAGGAAATCGGGGTTATAAAATGAGTGAGTTGGGGACTAGACCAGCACTTATGCTAATTAAACGAATTGCTCATATATTGAAATGTCTACATAAATCTGTCAACACATTCCCAGATTGTGGATATATGACATTCAGTTTTATCTGATATTTTGAAATCTTCATTCAGTATCCAGCACTCTCTGCTGCTAGCTGTGATAAAATATGATGTTCATGGTGATATCATGAATAAATGTTGTGATTATATACTTGCAGTTTGATGTTTGACACAAGGATGTAAGCCACTATACATGTCTGATCATTTTATTGAGTATTATTTTAGCAAATTTATACTCCCCAGAAATGACTCTTGCTCCTGATTCTCCTCTGTAGATGTCAATACCAAACATCGCACTCTGTGCACCAGTGGTAATCATGTCAATAAAACCATTTAGATCAGAGGGAATGTGGCACTGTAATTTGACAGACCCACCACCCCTGAACTCAAAGAAGAATTTTGCAATAGTAATTTCAGAACAAATTAGTCATCAAGAAGCAAAATGTTTAGATGACTTTATCTGGATGATGTTGGTTTTACTTTTTCAGTTCTTCTGCACTGTGATCGCTATCCTGTTGCACTACTTCTTTCTCTCTACTTTCGCTTGGCTCTTTGTGCAAGGCCTTCATATTTACCGCATGCAAACTGAAGCTCGCAACATTAACTATGGAGCTATGAGGTTCTATTATGCCATTGGCTGGGGGGTCCCCGCCATAATCACTGGTAAGTGCAGATGTGCTTGAAACAAAACAGTTTTTCTCTAGCACGCTCCACAGATCTCTATGCTACTACAGCTCTTGTGTCTGATATTTATCTGATATTTTGAAATCCTCATTCAGTATCCAGCAGTCTCTGCAGCTAGCTGTGATGATGCCCAAAAGATGATGTTTGTGGTGATATCATGCAAAAATGTTGTGATCGTTACAAATATGTGATTATGTTAAATTGGTGAAAAGGTGCACCGCAGGGCAATTTTTTTTTAACCAAGATACCTCAAAAGGGTTAACAAACAGAATGTGTGCAAAATCCAGGACCCGTGACTCCTGTGGAATTGAAATTTGGCAAATTTTATAAAAAGTTTTATGACATAATATTATGGTAAAGCATGTTATGACTTAATACAAAATGTCATAAAATATTTCCTGTTCTATGGTCAGTGACTGTGCTATACAGTTCAACATGGGCTTACTTTCAACTGAATTTTTAAGAACTTTTAAAGTGCATTAGAAGCTCTGCCACTGTTGAAAGTATTGAGAAATCTGGTAAGGAAATATTTCTGAAACGATGAGCCCCAGGCCACGCCTCATCTAGTAATCCTCAAAATTCTATTCTGGAAAATTGGTAGCTACAGTCCCAACACTGGATTAGACAAGGGTGATTCAGAAGGGCAGTACAGGTCCCGCAGTAGTTACATTAAACCTGCATAGTGTGTAAAGCTGCGGTTTCCCATCCCGCTTCTGCTGTCATTTGTAGTGTGTGTGTTTGTGTGTGTACATGAGTGTATGGGTGAGAGAAAGGGGGAAGGGAGGGAGAGAGTTGGTGCAGCTGGAAATTTGTCCAAATTTAGGGAAAACTGCATATAATCCTTAATGCCCAAATTACATTTTATTGATTGCCAGTCCTTAAAATGTGCCAAGATTCGTTATTGTATTCTCAACTTTCACAGTTCAAAATCCAGTTTACTTTTATGAGGTGATTAGGAACAATGTCACAAATAAGGATTCTCAGTAACTATGCGGACGAATTAAATCTTAAGTAAAACTAGTTCTGCTTGCAACATTCCAGGTTTTTCTTCATCAGAACCAAGAAAATCGAAGGTGTGGGGGGGGAGAAGGAGCATTTCCAGAGGGATATGCAACCTACCTTGATCAGGGACATGAAAATTGTAGTATAGACTTTATCTTTTCTTTTCTTTTAATCAGGATTATCAGTTGGTTTGGATCCAGAAGGCTATGGGAACCCAGATTTCTGCTGGATTTCCATCCATGACAAACTGATTTGGAGTTTTGCAGGGCCCATAGCTCTTGTCGTTCTGGTAAGCACGTCTCGTGATTGATTTATATTAATCTGTTTTGCAAAACTCCTGAATAGCCATGTAAGAGTGTCCATTTGCTTAGCCAGGATGCTAGGCTGAAGCCTTTCCTTTTCCATTCTCAGCATATCTGCTCCCTGATTTGCCATCCACACGCTCCCTTTCTTTGCCGTGCCTACGTGGACTTTTACACTATACTCTTTTTTTCTACTTTCTACCACTTTGTCTTTATTTTCCTTTTAGCATCTCTCTCATGCTACTCCTGGAGACTGGCATCAATGAATCTTTTGGAGGGGCTGGGGGACTCATCTGTTATACTTTCTGCACTTTTTGAGGGTCTATCACAATTCTAGAAAGGAATTAGAGCACAGAAGGCTTGTATTCAGGGGCCTGTTCATGTTAGCTATACCAGACAGTCATCCTTCCAAGGAAGGCGTGTCTGGAGGGGAATGGCATAGGGAGGATAAAGTTGGTGAGCGATCTGTTTTGCTTAGTGCCAAAACTACTGTCACTAACCGCTGAGTTTGTTTCCAGATGAATGGGGTGATGTTTCTTCTGGTGGCAAAGATGCTGTGCTCACCAGGACAAAAGGAAGCCAAGAAGAAAGCTGTGCTGTGAGTATTAGCTAATAACAATGATCTGCTGAGGCAAAAGCTTGCTCTGCAGCTTAACCTTTGTTGCAAACATTTGTTCATCAATGTTCACCTTCTCCATAAGTGTTTCTCCTCTTTTATTAACAATAAAAGCACTTTGCCTGCTGTCGGTCTTGCTACATTCTACTTTCCAGTCTTCCAGATGTCCTCTGCCTCTCCAAAAAGGATGTTGCTGGAGGCAGGAACTGTGAGTCTTATCACTGCTCGCTCACTGCTTGAGCCATATAAGTTGGGGCCATTTCCTGGTGTGTTTTATGGGTCCATGTCTGAACTATGATGAGTGGGCTAACACTACTGATAGTTCTGCAACAGTGTCTCAACCTGTAGTTTAACCACATATTCTAACGTCCATGTCTGCCTCTCTGTGGGGTTCTTTCTCTCTGTCTGTCTCCAGCATGATGATGCGAAGCTCCTTCGTTCTGCTTCTAGTTATTAGCACTGCTTGGCTCTTTGGTCTCTTGGCTATCAACAACAGTGTCCTGGCTTTCCACTACCTCTACACTGTCCTCTGCAGTCTTCAGGTAACTCTCTGAACTAGGTTGGTGGTTGGGTGAAAACTATGGAGCCGTCAGAGAGGAAGGTGTCTCTGTTCTGCTGGCAACTGTCCTGCAGAGCGAGTTAATCCTTGGCAAACCTTGAAGCTGCTGTCTAAGAAACATTTCTCCTTCAGTTATGCTAAAGATATTGAAATATTGCTGGATCCAAGGCACTGTGTCTGCAAATCTCCCTGCATGTTTTCATGGGTAGTCTTCTGTGCTGAGCTAGGCTGATTGTTCCATTTTTCTATGCTAATGGTCTACAATATAAGCAATTTTCAAACTGAGCTGGATACCTGCAGAAGACAGCAAGGAGTACAATATTTTTTTTGTTTCATAAGTATCATTAGACAACGAGCACCAATCAAATAGCAAATGGAGTGATGAAGGATGATAGTCTGTCCACTGGAACAAAAATGCTGAATATACAGTATTTAATTATCAAAATAAGGATTAAGTGAAGAATAAAATCTATATATATATATATTAAAAGTAATGGAGAATCTCTTAAGAGATGAAATAGCAGAAGCCAGTGGGGGGTGGGGGTGGAATGAAGAGCGAATTTGACTGAATGTGGGTATGAATTCATGCTTGAACTTGCACCGTGTCAATAGGAAAGACGGGATGCAGATGCTTTATTGCATCCCTGGATTGCATCCAGTGGCCTTGTTTAGGGTTGCCCATTCCCTATTTGGGAAAGATGGCTGGAAAGAGCTGCAGCCAGGTCACTGAGACTATATTGTGCTGATAAAATTCCTCACATTCACTTAACATCGGCTCTTCATTGACAGAATCTGATGTTGCAATGTTGTCTGAAATTCCTTTCAGCCTATGGAGTATCAGCATTATGTCTGCCACTTAAAAACTTGATTCAAGTTCTCATGACTCCTTTAAGGTACCCTGCAGGAATGTTATGGGTGGGCCCCCCAAAGTGGCCAACACTCTTTGAGAGATGACGATTTGCCACCTTCCTTGAATGTGTGGGTGGAACCCTCACTCCAAGGATCCACTAATATGGGCTCTTTCTTCATTCTTCTCCTGCTTAGCATCTATCTATATGAGATTGCTGGGAGGGGTCATCTGTTGATTTAGGGAAGACATCCTCAAGACACTGATAATACACAGTGTTACATCTTCATCCCATAAAATGCTGAAAATGCTCTAGAAATCTTGATGTTGTATCTGAATGCTGATGAGGATGCAGGGCAAGGTTATTGTTCATGTAGAAGGACTTTCTATCAGTTCCGGTTATAACTTCTGGTTATGAAAAGGGGAATTTGGGTTTCATTCTGCATTCACAGCTATTGTTAAATAGGCAAGTGAAAGCTGTGGTCAAGAGGACTTTTTCCAACTTCAGCTGCTGCACCAGGGAAAGCCCTGGCAAACAGTGACTCATGCAATCAACAGTTACTGCACTGCACCCTACTGAATATATGAGGGCTGTCTCTGAAGTTCACTCCAAACTCCAATTGGCCCAAAATGCAGTGACTTGTATGTTGCTATACCAGAGTCACCATAATCATATAACACCTATTTTGTACTGTAGAGTCACTGCATTGGTTGTCAGTATATTTCTGGTATAGCTCAAAGTTCTGAGTTTAATCTATAAAACCCTATGTGGTTTGGCACCTGGCTACTTGCAGGACCTCTTTCTCCCCATAGAGGTGACTTATACAACCCACCTCTTACATGTATCCCAGAAAAAGTCCTCTAGAGATAAATAGACAATGCTTTGCAGGGGCAGTCCCCATATTCTGAATATCTTCCCTCTTGAAACTAGATTAGCACCTTCTTTACTGACATTCCAGAAATCATTCAAAGCCAAAGTATTTCAGAGGACATTCGGGGATCATTTACATTCATCTGCATTTTTATTTGTTTTATTTACTTTTTATATTTACTTTATTTTTTAGCATGCATTTTATGCTTTTATTAGTGTAAACACTGAGTTTACAGTAAGTTACTTAATGGTAACTGGCTGCCTATTTGTTTCAGTACTGTTCATTTCCTAATTTATTAAGACTTTCTTTGACTCTACTGAGTGTGCTACAGGTATGCAGTAGATTAAGATGCCACTATTCTGATTTTTTTTTCTGGTGTATTGTTCATAAATAAGACTATTTCTCCCTCTAGTGGAAAATAAATCATTACATTTCTTCTGGCTACAGAATTTAAGAATAACGCAGCTTAAACACATGGAATGGGATGGGAAGGTGCCCTCTGGAAACTGACAAATTACAAAATTCAGCATTTCTCACCATTGTCTATGCTAACCTCTGACTGCTAAGCATTCAACAAGCCTTGGAGGGCTACAGGTTTTCTTATTCCTATATGAGGCTTATATCATAGGGAAGAAGTATTTTGAGTGTCACATTCATAAAAAAGGATGCTAGATGATCAGTTTTGTTAATCCACACCTCTGTCATGCCCCTGGTGGAGACTGACTCTGAGGGAGAGGAGGAACAGCAGACAGGGAGTGGAAGTGTGGCTCCGGAGGTTGTGGAGGAGGCTGGGGAAGGCCAGAGGCTGGCTGGGCAGTCAGAGAAGGACCCAGGCCCATCCCCTCTCCATCCTAGGGCATGTAGGGAGGAGAGGATAAGGGAGAGATGTGGTCTATTGGAGAGGAGAGGGCCTTGGTCCTCTTCATGGGCTGCAGCTGTGACAACTGGGTAAGAGAACGGACATGCGTATGGGCGAGTGCTGGAAACAAAGTGTGGAAATATCTCTATTGTTCCACTCTGAGTTAGCGCCCTTCCCAGTGTGTCTTCTGATATATGTGGACATCTTCAAGCCCTTATCTTGCCTGGTTTGTGTTGTTTTTTACTCTTTATAATTTAAATGGTATTTTCTCCTTCTTGTAACTGCTTGTGTGGGAGTTTTTTGTCACCAGTCAAGGATATTTGGAACTTGGAAGCAACGTGAAGGAATAAAAGGAACTTCACCTGTTTTTTGTGACTGTGTTTAATTTGTATTACACCCTGGGTCATCACATCCTGTATCTCATGAATGGTATTGGCTGGAAGGCTGAGCTAAGTTTTAATCCTGGCCTGAGACTCTGGAGAATGACTGCCACAGGTATTCCTGGTGATATAGGTCATCTGATCTGGATGCTTTAATTTAGTGGTTTAGGTTGATTGCTATTTTATTTACCAAAAAATCCATGTCTTCTTCTCCCATGTATTACCAGAATGTTTTCCTATCCAATGAAATCTATTTAGAGGTGGGGAGAAGTATACTGGTCCCAAAGGTAGTTTTTCAAGAGGGAACTGGACTTTCTGTTTTTTCCCTGAAGACATTTTGCTTCTCATCCAAGAAGGCACTTGAAAAAGCACCTTTGGGACAACCATGACCTAGATGATTGAGATTCCCCATGGACAAGAAGCATACTTGCTTACTAAACCAGTGGAGGCTGCTATCTGGAAGTATCTCCCATGATCCAGAGTGGGTCTCTCTCTCTCTTTTTTCTCTGCAGGGTTTGGCAACACTGATTCTATTCTGTGCAGTGAACAAGGAGTTCCTGGAAGCCTGGAAAGGGGCTTGCCTGGCTAAGAAAGGCGAAGAAGCCCCCAGAAGTGGCCAGGTATGGACTGGGTAGAGATAAAAAGAGGTTCCTTTGTTCTAAGTCTCCCCATTCAAATACACTTTTCCCCTTAAAAGTCCTTAAGTGGTGCCTTGTTTATTCACTTGATTTATTCTTTACACTTTATTGTATTTGTTTGCTTCATTATTATAGACCAGTGATTTGATATTCTTGACTGACTCAGGTCTTCTTCCTACTGTTTAAGCTGGTCCTCAAGATAGGTTGTCTTCTTAATATACAGAGAGTCAATTAGATCCCTCTTGTTGCTTTCCTATGTTCTTCTTCCATGTCAGGGCCACAATGCCTACAACAACACAGCACTATTTGAGGAGAGTGGCCTTATTCGTATCACTCTGGGAGCCTCCACAATCTCGTCTGTTAGCAGTGTGCGCTCAGGCCGTACTCATTCTAGCCAGCGGGGCTACCTCAGGTAGGAAGCTTCTCCACAGCATGTCCGAATACATGCTCTGGGTTAGTTGTTTTTTCATATGGAAAGGTGGAATAAGTTTTAATAAGTAAATACATAAATTTATTTAAGGAGAATTGTCTGTGGCTTAGTAAGGGTACCATTTCTTCTGGAGTCCATAGCAGACTCCTGGGCCTTAAATATTGTATCCTGCATGTGAGCAGGGATTTGAAAGCCACTTAGGTAATAATGCACCAATCTCATCATTATGAGCCCCATTGATTGTTCTTCCCTCCATTCCCCAATATATGCTGAGCTAGAATTTCATTGAGGCCTAGTGGGTATACAAAATGGATGTTGACAGAGGGAGATAAGGTGTACAAAGAAGTAAACATTGTGATTTTGACCCAATGGCTTAAAAAAAACTTCTCCGCCCCACCCCCAATTCATATGTATTTTCACTCTTTAAACAATAATAAATACAGTATGAGAATATCTGAATCATCTCACTTCCCTGCACCAACCAGTCAGGTAGCTTTGGAAACTAATAAGCAGAGAGGCAGCCTTTTCCTGTTGTCGTTTCTCATCAATTTATACAAAATGTCAGGTAGCCCCTGGAGGTAGCAAGCCAATTTACTCCTCTGTAACCATAGGTAGCTTTATGATCATGATTATGTCAAATCCCCTCTTAAATCAATCATCACATCTAATCCAGTTTTACAAATATGTCACATTTACATATTTGACATTTACCTGTGAATCCCTAAACAATTTAGGATTGGAATGCAGGAGAATGCCTTACCATCCCCGATATAGATCTTTCTAACCACTAATTTGGAGAATTTGGCTCTGCAAATTCTCTGTGTCCCTTGACTTTTATTTGACATCAATCAGGTTCTTTTCCGTTTCCCCTTCTTTGGAAAAAACGTTTCTCCAGAAAGAAAACACAGGAGTATTATTACAATTGAAACATACACTGTAAATCTTTTTACTCATGGTCATTTGAAAACTGACAAAGATACTGTTGTTCTACTAGTGGGATTTGTGTGGGTTGTATTATGATATGCCCTGTGTTATAATGTAAACTAAAAGATGATACATATGTACTTAAAATATGGCTTAATTGTCTGAGAGTTCAGAAGGAGGAAGCAAGTAAGAGCCATGGTGATGCAGTGGTTAGAGTGCAGTACTGCAGGCTACTTCTGCTGGCTGCCTGTTGCCAGCAGTTCAACAGTTCAAATCTCACCAGGCTCAAGGCTGACTCAGCCTTCCATCCTTCTCAGGGGGTAAAATGAGAACCCAGATTGTTGGGGGCAATATGCTGACTCTATAAACTGCTTAGAGAGGGCTGTAAAGCACTGTGAAGCAGTATATAAGTCTAAGTGCTACTGCTATTGCTAAGCCACCAACAGGTGATGCATTACAGTGCCCATTCATGAAGAACAACAGAGTCATTGGTGCTAGATATCAGCTTCCTTTGCTGTTATGCAGCAGAAGATTGTTGTTGCTTCCTCAGCCTTCCCTGTTCTGACTGATTGGCAGCTGCTGGCTTTGAATTTATCAGATAGGTATTTATCTAAAGCACAGCAGTTTTTCAGAGCTTGGAATAGATTCTGGCTCTGAAACTCCTCAGAAGTGCCTGGGATTTGGGGTTTTGCCAGCTCTCAATGGATCTATGTATGTTCTGTGTTATGAGTTTCAGAGAGAACATGATAGCACATCAAGGCTCGGCTCTGGATCACAATTTGCTCAACCATGCTGGCCCCACTGACCTTGACGTAGCCATGTTCCATCGTGATGCAGGTCCAGGTAAGGATAGCTTTTAATGGGTATAAAAGAGAAGGCTCTCAACCCTGGATCTAAAGCAGAGGTCTCAACTTGACAAGAAATATCAGTGGTGCTGTCTATCAAATATTTCTGATACCAAAGTCTGTGAGTAACTGCATGTTTTCCTAAGGAAGGACAGGTTTATGCCTAACCAGGACTTTCTTATTGAAACAGCTTGTGGGCACACTGACTTGACTTGGCATCAATGTGGCTGATGACATGCTTTGTGATTTTGAATGCTGATTGTAATGTAGATGATAAGGTCAACCCTCCTTTCAATTTTGCAACCTATTTAACTTTTGAGTGATTCATATCCTGAGAAGCTGTTCCTCCTTAATCTTCTTCCCCCTCTTCAAATATCCCCGATCTTATCCAGATCAAGACTCTGATTCAGATAGTGACCTCTCCCTGGATGAAGAACGCAGCCTCTCAATTCCCTCTTCAGAGAGTGAGGAAAACGTGCATCTCCGGAGCAGATTCCAGCGTCCGTTCAAAAGGGCAGCCCACAGTGAGAGGCTCCTCACCAACCCTAGTGACACTGCACCAAAAGGCAAGTCCCAGGACACTGAGAACATGCTGAGTCATGAGGGGTTGAGGGGGAGGGAGGGAGCAGGGCTCAGGATGACCAGAGGCTGGGTTGAGACAACCTGCTAGCATAGCTAACGTCAGAGTAGGAAGGTCAAGGTTCACTTAACTGTGGGAATTCACCTCTGGCTTTAGCTTTTTGTTGCAATCATCCTGTTCAGATATAGCATGGTGTATGAACTCAGGAACTGTGCTTTGTTCATCTAGATTTCACTTCGTTATGTTGTATGAGGCTTTTACATTTTATCTCTATATTTTACAATAATACAATAAATCTCAGACAAATGGAATCCCATTGATCGTATTTCCCAGAGCATTGATAGGAAGCCAGCTCATATATAGTAGCAGTAAATAAGTATTCCAACCAGGTACATTATAGTCTTTCCACTGGAGCAAACATCTTTTTTAACTGCTGCTGCACAAGTACAATAAATGCAAAAAAATTCATACTTTGATAGGTTCCAAAATTTTGGAATATGATTGAAGATCTCATTTGCTTCTTTGTCTTTTTTTAATCATTCTGTTTACGATTCTGTGAATATTAATACTATGTCAGTCTAGAGCAGGGGCATCAAAGTCAAGGCCTGCAGGTGGGATCCGGCCTGTCGGGGAGGCCTGCAGTGACTCTGGTGGCTAAAATGGGCCATGTGCAGCCCCCTGCCCCTCATTTTCACCCTCCATGGCCTCCTGCAGCACTCTGCTGGCCAAAACCAGGCCAAAACCAAGCTGAAAAATGGGCCCAAAATGGGCCCAAACTGGGTTGTAAACAGCTGAAAAACAGGCTGAAAACGGGCTGAAAAATGGGCCCAAAATAGGCTAAAAATAGGGCCAAAATAGGCTGAAAACAGCCCCCAAATGGGCCAAAATGTGCCAGAAACAGCCAAAAAACGGCCCAAAAATGGGCCACGTGGCCTGTTTTCAGCTGGCAGGGTGCTTCAGGAGGCATCCATCCCACTATCCCACCCCAACCGGCCTGCAGAGGAGAACTAAAATGCTGATCTGGCTCTCGAAGAAATCCAGTTTGACATCCCTGGCCTAGAGCAACACTAAAATGTATCAGAGATACTCCTGACATTTATGATGAAGCAAAGGCTTCCTTTTAGCATTGTGGGGTGGAGCAGTTTGCAAAATATTACATGAGAATTAGAAAGAAAGATGACTTTCACAACTGATTGGCAAAGAGTATATGTATTAAAATATATAATATATATGGAAATGAGATAAAAATAAATAAGTATATTTTTCACAAGTGAATCTTTTTGAACTCCATTTTATTGTAAAGTAAAATATAAGTCTCTATTCCAATAAACTCGATTAATTTATGGCTCCTCTGCACATAGAAAGTCCCTTCCAATTCATAAGAAAATTATAGAAATTCTCAAGGAGATGTCTAGTATATTATTTGTAGTATAAGTGTGAAATATACAGTTGGGCAATTAGTAATTCTGAAGCATAATATGTTAGTGTGCCACGGTCGTAGTAACTTCACTCCATGCATTGCAAACAATTTGATCAACTCAAGAATGAGCATATATACTGTGGCAAAGTGTTGTGTTGATTTATGAGATGTCCTGTGCTCTCCCTTTGTATATCTGAAATGTTCTTCCTTAGATGTGGATGGTAATGATCTGATGTCCTATTGGCCAGCACTGGGAGAATGTGAGGTCCACCCCTGTTCTCTCCAGAAATGGGGCTCAGAGAGGAAGCTTGGATTTGATGTTAATAAGGATACGGCCAACAATAACCAGCCAGACTTGGCTTTAACCAGTGGGGATGAGAACTCTCTCACTCAGACCCAACGGCAGAGAAAAGGTGAGATGACTTAAAGCACAATCAGCCTACAATTCCTTTGGGGCTACTCTCTCTTAGACTAACCTATTTTACATGGCTGTTTTGCAGGATAATTTTAAGGTAGGCAGTCACTTTCAGGTAAAAAGGAGTGGCCCCTCAGTCACCTGATCATGCCTATCATTTTGAAGCAGTGACCATCACTGCAAGTGTGCTGGCTGTCAATGTGTGGGCAAGGAACCTGTCTACACAATACAGCTCAATAACAACTATCAGTCATTCATCAATAGAGTAACAAGTTACTATTTTTGGAATGCAGAACCCCCATCCATTTCTCCAGACAATGCATGATATCCCACGAGCCGTTGGACCAGGTAAACACTGACAAGGTTTCGTGACATCAGCAGCCTTTCCCCCATTCATGGAGCAGACAGCAATGAGGGCAAAGGGAGGAAATGATAAATGGTGAGGCATCCAAGTCATGACTTGCATAAAAATTTACAAGCTTCTCTCTTGAGGTGCTTGTCCCTGATGTTTCCCTTCCTTCTGGCAATCTTCCATTCCCCACAAGTTGTATAATCATCTACTTAATTGAGGTCAACCCTAGCCCCATTATCTGTCTCAGCATAGCTATAAAGCGACTCCCTTCAGGCTAATAGCCTCCTACCAATCTTCCTGCCAAGAAGGTCTGTGAGAAGAAAGTATCCTTCAGAACCAAACAAAGGAAGAAAAGCAACAGCATAGGAGACAAGTGCCCTTCTCACAGCAAATACCATAGGTGGCATAAGACAACAGGTGGAAATTGAAAAGAACATTACTCCGGGCTCTTTCCTGACATCCAGGAAACACATCCAGGCCTAGGAAAATAAGACAGCACACACAGGATCTCTACACCCCTCCCAGCATGGAAGTGGTGCTTCCCAAAACAATTATTTGAAACACCATTGTTTATTTACATTTGATAGCATATAACAATGTGCCAGTGAATATGTTCAGAACTCCAGCACCAGAGGCTCCATAGAGTGTTGTTTTGTTTCTCCACATTTGCAGTCCTTGCTTCAAATGCAGAAGGAGTGGCTGAAAACAGCATTCATATAAAAGATAGATTTCCATGATATAGGTAGTCCTCATTTAGTGATCACAGTCAGGATCGACAATTCAGTCATTAAGCAAAATTGTTGCTAAATAAAACCATGACTATACTTATCATCTTATTTCGGCTTTCCTTTGAAGAACTGTAAAGGTCATAAATGTGAGGATTGGTTGGAAAATTACTTTTTCATCACTGTCAGTAAACAAAAAAGTTACTAAATAAGGACTACCTGTAGTCACTTGGGGTCTTGCAGAATAATGCTTAGATATTCCCCTTCTCAGAGGCCCATGGATGCAGAACAGATGGCACTCCGTCAGCCCTTCAGATCCACTGGCACATTAGTTTTACTTAAAGGAAAGTCCATACTGGTACCTCCCCAGAAATGGATACGGTCACTAGTTGGTATATGAGCTTTAATTCTGAACTGCATTATTGTGAAAAACACTCTTCCTTATAGCTTGAAGTTCCAAAATAACATTTTCTCAGATATGGAAATAGCCACCAAGATTCTCCCCGCTTTGTCTTGCTTTCTTAAATTTCTTATGTCAAGTTGCTAGAATCTAGAATCTGAATCATCATGTTACTGTCCCTTCCTTCCTTCCTTCCTTCCTTCCTTCCTTCCTTCCTTCCTTCCTT